GGTCCCTTTGGGGTTGGGGGCTCTCCCCTTTCTTTTTTTTTTTTTCGGTCCGGGCGTTTTGTTTTTTTTTTTTTTTTTTTTTTTTTTTTTTTGTCTTTTGTCTTTTTCCGTGTCCGGCAACGGATCGCAACCCTCAGTGTTGCCCCCGCACCGGACCGGGGACCGGCAATGGGACCGCAACCCTCGGCGCTGCTCCCGCACCTCGCTCAGCCAGTGAGCAGGAACCGGTCCATATGTGGGATCCAAACCCTCGGGCGGGAGCGCCGCCGCGCTTCCCAAGCGGTGCACTATCCAGTGCGCCACCGGGCCGGCCCTGTGATTGCTTTTTAATAACCAAGTCTGCTGTCGTAAATGCAGCGCTGGGTTTGGCGTTATTTCAGAACTGTGAGGGTACCTTATGTGTGGCCAGGAGGGAGAGGATGCAGAATTGAGTGGTTAGCATGACTTCTGGTGGGTAGAACTGTGAAAACTGGCTGGGGACACGGGAAGCTCTGGGCTGTCCGAGCTGCAGCTTCTTCAGCATTGAGAGCTGGCTCCCTGCTGTGGAAAACGCAGTCTGGGTTCTGTGGTGTTCACTTAATTTCCTCTGGACAAACACTGAGATGTTCGCTCGTGTTCTAGGCCTGTGCTGGTCTGTGCCCCGAGTAACATAGCTGTGGATCAGCTGACCGAGAAGATCCACCAGACGGGGCTGAAAGTCGTGCGCCTCTGTGCCAAGAGTCGCGAGGCCATTGATTCCCCGGTGTCCTTCCTGGCCCTGCACAACCAGATCAGGAACATGGACAGGTGGTTGTGGAGCTGTCCCCACCAAGTTGGTCACGGGGCTGCTGTGTGTGGCGCCTGCTGACCACTGTGTGCTTACAGCATGCCGGAGTTGCAGAAGCTGCAGCAGCTGAAGGATGAGACTGGGGAGCTGTCGTCTGCCGACGAGAAGCGCTACCGTGCCCTGAAGCGCACTGCTGAGAGGGAGCTGCTCATGGTGAGCCTGCCTTGTGCTGCAGCTGGGACGGCCTGCGAGCCATGGGCATGGCTCTGGTTCCTCTGGGCCAGGGGACCTATTTGATATGTGAAGCGTACGATGGCACCTTTGGGTCAGTTTGTTTTGCATTTGAGAACTATGATCCCTCTTCATCTGCCCTGTCCATGCTCCCACAGTTAGGGACATTTTGTTGCCTGGAACACAGTTTTCCAGGTAGTTTCCACTTCCACCAGCCTCGCTGTGGCTGGCACCTCTGGAACCTGGCTCACATGCCTGGGAGTGGGTCCAGAACATTCTCTCAACCCACCAAAAGTGGAATCTCTCGCCCGAGGCTAGGTTTCATGGACTCGGTGCTACCCTTTAGAGGCCATTACACAACAGGAGCCATTTCTGTGCAGAGAGGTTGCCTTAGACAAGCACAACCATTTAGGAACTTAACGTGGTCCTAATTGTGGCCTGGACAGTGTATCTTGTCTGCATGGGATGGCTTGTTTTCATTGTTGTCAGGGCAGATGTGGCTCAGAACAACCTCTGCCTCTCATCTTGCCTGCCCCGACAGTTGACGGTGCAGGTGTCCTGACACCTCTGTACCCCTTTCCCCAGAACGCGGATGTCATCTGCTGCACATGTGTGGGTGCTGGTGACCCAAGGCTGGCCAAGATGCAGTTCCGCTCCATTTTAATCGACGAAAGCACCCAGGCCACTGAGCCAGAGTGCATGGTTCCTGTGGTCCTCGGTGCCAAGCAGGTGGGCCGCAGCCTTGTTTGAAAATCAGTGTGTGTGATGCCTAGTGCTTGAGGTTTGTTTTTACAAATGGGCTATGATGCTGTATGACGCCGCATAGAGCAAGGAGGAACGCACAGTGGGCCCTCAGAGGGGGGTCTTTAAAGGGTGGGCTCACAGGGCGCTCATCTGTGCCTGTCACCCTCTGAGCACCTTGGTGCTGTGTTCTGAGTGCAGGTTTAGTGCTGTGACCTGCTGTTCATGTCATAGTGTGTGGGGAGCAGATGTTGTACTGCTTGAGTGTGTGTGCCTGGGTGGTGGTTTGTGGACCCAGCGTCCTTGGTCTGCTAGTGGACACGCAGGCCGTGCCATACTTGAGCTTCTCTTGTGTGGGCCTCTCCCCACAGCTGATCCTCGTGGGTGACCACTGCCAGCTGGGTCCGGTGGTGATGTGCAAGAAGGCGGCCAAAGCTGGGCTCTCACAGTCACTCTTCGAGCGCCTGGTGGTGCTGGGCATCCGGCCCATCCGCCTGCAGGTTCAGTATCGCATGCACCCTGCACTGAGTGCCTTCCCGTCCAACATCTTCTATGAGGGCTCTCTCCAGAATGGCGTCACCGCAGGTAACGGCAGGGGCCTCTGTGGGGAAGGGGCATTAAGGGAATGTAGCCTGGGGAGGAGCCCTCCCATCAGTTTCTTCTTAAGTGGCTTTACGGAGCAATTACTCACGTCTGGGGGGATCTTTGTGTGAGGTCTTGGCAGTGTGGTCATGAGGGACCAAGGGTCTGCTCTGGAGTATAGGGCATCCCCAGGGTGTGGGCATGGGGAGCCTGTGTCCTCTGTATAATTCAGAGTCACTACCAGGGCTCCCACAGTCTTATACACAGCAGCAAGGACAGGCGTCGCGGAGCACCCTTCCAGGCCTCACTTCATGCTGGGCGTTAAGTGCTTTACAAAGTTATGAAGATCAGCTGTTCTCAAAACCTTCCCTGAGGTCAGACTACCCCGATAATAACACAGAGGCATTGTTTGCCCTTTTCACTGTGCTGCCGCTCATGCTGTTAGTGACCGGCTGGGGCCTCAGTGGGAGCCAGCACAGTGCCGCCAGACTGTGCCAGGACCTGCGGAGTCATCACCACCACAGGCTGCAGTAAGAGATGCCCTGGAGGAGGAAGTGCAAGGTATTTCTTTTACTAAAGCCTGCAGCACGGCCTCTTTACATGCAGTGTGGCAAGACGGAAGCCAGAGTGAGATGCAAGGTGCCTGAAGCAAGGACTCGCACACGTGCCCGGCTGTCTGTGCTGGGGGACACGCAGGTGGTGTCCTGAAAACGATCCAGGCAAACCTTTGGCGTCAAGGAGAACAGCTGGCAGTGTGTGTCGCCAGTGATAAAATCTGAGGATCCAAACGAAAATGAGAGTTCTGGAAAACTTAACATTGCCTACCATGAGTTTGGAGAATTCTCAGTGCTTAGTGACTTTTCTGATGAGATCTGTAGTGGTGACAGATGAGATGTTTTTATTGTCTGTGAGATCAGTCAGCCTTTAGAAGACCTGCTTGGCTAGTGGGCAGATATTTCCTGAGTGACCAACATAGGGTGTTATAAAGTTGTAACAGGGCCAGAGACTCCGCCTGTGGGTCAGAGGAGGAAGTGAGAAGGGTTGGAACTGGCCTGCAGGAAGCCCTGGGTTCAGCATCAGTGTGGTGTCAGGGACAGGGATCCACAGTCACCTGGACCTTCCCATTCTGTGGAGCCTGACTCTCCTCACCTTCGAGGGAGGTGCTACGGGAGACCGGCCAGCAGCAGACCTGAGGACCCCGGAGAGTAGAGGGAGGTGCGGGAGTGGGAAGCAGGACCAACTTGACTTGTTTTTTGGAAAATGTGGTTATTTTTCATAAAAGTTTAACATGTAATGAGTTTATTTTTAAATGAATTAATAGGTATTTAAATTTTCTTTGTTTTAAAATACTGCAATCCACATAAACAAAAGATGTTTCGACCTTCAACTTTTAAGAGTGTGCAGTGTTGGTGAGCCACTGACATGGGGTGTTGTCGGCTCCAGCAACCTGCCGTGTCAGCGTTGGTGAGCCCCACTGATAGGAGGAAACAGGCCTGGAGCTCACACCCCCATCTGGGGCCATGCTGCTGCCACATGGTGTGGGTCCTGGAGTCGCTGCTGCTGTTAACAGCACAGCAGCACTTGGAACACTGCTGTCACTGTTCCCTGGCGAGGCTAGAAAAGGCAAGGCCACGAAGGCCTGGCTTGTGACTGTGAGGCATCCAAGCACTGTTGGGAAAGGCCTGACTCAGACCCTGGCCGCCATACCTTTCCTCCTCCATGGCTGCCCCCCAGGATGGGAACTCGCAGAGCTGTCTCATCAGTGCGCAGCGCGAAGTTAGCACCCAGTGGGTATGTTTTATGAAATTTGTTATTGAAGTGTAAACGTGCTGGACCACACCTGTGCAAGCAGTGCCTGAACCCCAAACCAGGACCTGACCACCTCCCGGAGGCCACCTTCACCCCTGAGGGCACCCAGGTCTGAGTAGCATTGGAGCCACCATACCCACTGCTGAGGGCCCAGCGCCTGTGTTTGTCCAGGTGTCTGCAGCAAGCCCGCCTGGCTTGAATTCCATCCGTGTGTCTTGCTTCATTTTCAGCCCAACACCAGGGGTCACAGTGTGTCCTTGTGCCTCTGGCTCCCTCTGTCAGTGTTAGGCTAGTGCCCTGCAAAAACCCCACTTCACTCACAGTTTTTCTTGAAATTCCTGATGGGGTGGGTGTGGCACATGTCAGTTGACAGGCTGATTTTAAAATTGTAAGAAGTGCACAGGACGAAGAACAGCCAGGACGAGCATGAGAAACCCTGCAATGGTGGCAGCTCGCATCATGAGATGTCACGACTCCCCAGCTGCAGACACCATGGCACTGTCTCACCCACAATGGAGTGCTGAGGCAGAGCCACCTGTCCAGGTCCCTAATCGGTGACAGGCAAGGATGCAGGGCAGCAGGACGGGGTCGGCTCAGCAATGTCATACACAAGTGAGCTCCAGGGGCTCATGGATACTTTATGGCGCAGCAGTGAAGCTACTAGAAAAAAACAATATCTTTATGATCCTGGGGTAGGCAAGGATGTCTTAAACATACTGCAGGAAGTACTAGCCAACAAGTATTTGTTCAGTCAGTGAGCCAGCTTTGTGCCAGGCAGTGTGCTCGGAGTGGTCTCAATCCTGGGCGTCTTGCTCAATCCTGGGCGTCTTGGGCCAGGAGACCCACTCAAATGGCCTCGCCAGGCCCCACACGCCTGGGTCTCCTGCCCCGGAACCTCTACAAGGTGCACTGTGGTTTTAGTTCTCTAATGTGAAGTGTTGCCTGTTTGCCCTGCCCCAATGACAGCGGATCGTGTGAAGAAGGGGTTTGACTTCCAGTGGCCCCAGCCTGATAAGCCAATGTTCTTCTACGTGACCCAGGGCCAGGAGGAGATTGCCAGCTCAGGCACCTCCTACCTGAACAGGTGAGCAGGGTGTGCCCATAGCATCTGCTTCAGTATAGCTTGTTGAGTGGTCGCTGACCTGTTTTGTTTGTTTTTTAACATGGTACTGAAGTTTTTTTTCTTGCCATCCTCATCCCCATTAGTTCAGACTCTAAACCAATAGCATGTGGTCTCCACCTCGTTTTTCCAGTGCATTTGTTTTCATATGGGGTGGGTATTTTCTACATCCACCTGTGAGCCTTTTCTGTTCCTAATGGCTCCCTAGTAAAGGATGAGGAAGCACAGCTGTGCACACACTGGGTGTGGGGCAAGCGATGCTGGCGGGGCTCCACGGTGTTGCACTTATTCTGAGCTGTCATGGTGGCACTGTCACCCCTGGATTGTCGTACATTTACATCAGGCTGGAGAGGGAGCTGCCCCAGCACCTTCTGCTGCCCCCACCCTCAGGGCTAAGGGCCCCATGTGTGGAGCCCTAAAAGCCAATTTTTTAGGACGGAAGCTGCAAATGTGGAGAAGATCACCACAAAGCTACTGAAGGCAGGTGCCAAGCCAGACCAGATCGGCATCATCACGCCCTATGAGGGTCAGCGCTCTTACCTCGTGCAGTACATGCAGTTCAGTGGCTCCCTGCACACCAAGCTCTACCAGGTGCGCCATGCTTGCCCATGCACGCAGTCGGGAGGCGTTTCTGGGTTGTGCGGTAGATGTTGACCTTTAAGTTAGCTGACCTGAGGGCAGCCTGTCCCAGGCTGGGCTGACCTGACCCCAGACCATGCCTGGGCAGCCTCTCAGGAGGACATAAGATAACACATTACCAGTATCCCTGCTAGGGTCTTGCATGGTCAAGAATATGTTCCAAGGGTCAGAAACTCGGTCTGAAATTCGTGCATAGAAGTGTTTTTCTTAGGATATTTGAAACAACCCCAAGGTCAAACAGGGAAACAGCTGTTGCCAGCTGTACAGTGGATGTTATGCAGGTTGAAGATGGCGCTCACCACTTTACTAACACCTGGATGAGATGCCCACTGTGTGTGTTGCAAGGATGCGGGAGTCTGTTCTTTCTTCACATGGAATGAACCGGAATGCAAAGCCCGAGTGCCCACACTGCGAGTGGCTTCTTGTCTGCTCTTTGGCTGCTGTCTCGGTCTTTCTACATGAGTATGTGTGTTGTTGGAAAACAGATCACCCTGGCTGTGAAGAAAACAGTGCAGAAAAGTGGGGGGACGACAGCCTCCAGGCACAGCGGGCGCACCAGGCCCTAGGCATCAGGGACGTACCCGGAAACATTTCATGTGTTTTGGGGGGTCCTGGGAGCAGCCTGCTGGCTGATGACAATGCCGCTGCCCCTTTCAGGAGGTGGAGATCGCCAGCGTGGACGCCTTCCAGGGCCGCGAGAAGGACTTCATCATCCTCTCTTGCGTGCGGGCAAATGAGCACCAAGGAATCGGGTTTTTGAACGACCCCAGACGTCTCAATGTGGCCCTGACCAGAGCAAGGTACGAGGCTGCTCGCTGCCTAGTGCCACTGCCTCTTAATGTGTGTCCCACTTGGGCGGCCTGAGCATTTATGAGTCTGACGTTTTTTGTCGTATCCACTTTCTCTGGTTCTGGAATACAACTTTCCTGAAATGATAATAGAAGGGACCCCAAAAACAAGGTGGGCACTGTGTAGGTCCCCACATAAAACCAGACAGCAGCTACCCCCTGACCAACTGGAAGCCTGGGGCCTAGCCCGCGGCTCAACAGATCACACGGGAGAGAGCCGGTTGTTACTTCCTGCTCCTCCAGGTCCCAGTTTGTTTTAGTTTTTTGTGCCCTTTCTAAGGTGCTCTCATGTCTGGTGACTAATATTAGGTGGGGTCCCCAACACACAACCACGTGGGGGTGAGTTAGAGGAGCCAGTGCCCCATCCAGAGTTTTTAGGGGGCTGCTAATGCCCCAGTACCCGGGAAGCCAACCCTCAACTACAGGCGGAGACTTTGTCTCTGGGTTCATCTGCTCAGGTGGATGTTTGAGGGTGGGCTTCTCAGAAGCCTCCACAAAACAAACCCAAGGCAGAGTCAGCAGCTTCCGAGCCAGAGCCCACCTGCCTCCCTGCTTACCTAGGCTGTGCCTCTCAGCATGTTGGCTGGAGTTCAATGTTCTGGGCTGGGCCTGGCCTTTATGATGGGGCTCGTGGTCCCCCCAGAGCTCCTTCTTGCTGTGTGGGTAGGGGGCTGCATGCTTTGCAGTGACAGGAGAGCTTCCTGTGCCTGGGCTTCTGTGGCTTTGGGTTTGGAGTTTGGGCGGTCTTGCCTCCAGGACAGTTGTACATGATGCTCGGCTCACTGTGCACCCTGTACTCTTGTAGGTACGGTGTCATCATTGTGGGCAACCCAAAGGCTCTGTCAAAGCAGCCACTCTGGAACCACCTGCTGAACTACTATAAGGAGCAGAAGGTGCTGGTGGAGGGGCCCCTAAACAACCTGCGTGAGAGCCTCATGCAGTTCAGCAAGCCCAGGAAGCTCGTCAACACCATCAACCCGGTGAGCTCCGGCAACCACAGGCAGACTGGACAGAGGGAGAAGGGCTTGCTTCTCACCTCCCTTGTTTCCAGGGCTCAGTGAGCCCATGGGGGCCACGGAGGACACAACCCACGCACCCAGGAATTGGTGGTTGGGATCCTCTGGCCCCACCATTCCTGGGCAAGTGACTACCCCTCTTGCTGCAGCCCTCGTGAGCAGAGCAGGGCGGGGAGGGCTAGGACAGTGCCAAGACCCCTCTCCTCCAAGCCAGTGTTCTGGGAAGGCTGCTGTGAGCAGTGATGGGTGTGACTTGGGGGTGAGCACGAGCTGAGGGTGAGCCTGGCGCCAACATGAGTGGGTGTGATGGCGTGTGGAGACCATCTCCCCCAGATGACTCTCCTTGGGGAGGAGGTGGGAGCGCCAGCCTGAGCCCCCATTCCAAGTCTCCCAAGCCTTCTGCAGTGTTTTGACATTGGGCTTCCTGGGAAGCAAAGTTGGGTGGCCTGAGAGCCAGGCTCAGGGTGCACCGTGCTGCAGCAGGCAAGGATGTCTGGTATGCAGGGTGGCTGCGGGGGACTGGCAGGCAAGTCAGCAGAGCCTAGGAGCCTGCACACCCGCCACCTCTGAGGCCACTGGCTCTGTGGAAAATTCCACCTCCTGTTGAGATGACGAATTCCTCACCTATCTAAAACCTTGCAGGGAGCCCGCTTCATGACAACAGCCATGTATGATGCTCGGGAAGCCATTATCCCAGGATCGGTCTATGATCGCAGCAGCCAGGGTGAGTCTACATAGTGGGTGACCCAGCTGGCCTGTGTCCCCAGGCTGGGATGTTGACCTTTCCCACACCTGCAGCTTCTGCTATCCCTCCTTGGGTGGCTTCACAAGCTTTAGTGCACAGAAGCCTGCTTGACACAAGGAGCATTTCTCAGTATGCCTTGTCTGCAGTCAAATGATTGGTCTTTGATGGTTTCTAGAATCAAGACATTTCCTGAATGAGGCAGCTTCGTCTCATCTGCCTCAGAGTGCCCTAGCCCGCCACCCAGGTGGGGCAGTGCTGGCTCTGGGTCTTCCTGGCTTCTGCCCCCGCCTTTGGTCACCCTCTTACCAGCAGGTCCCACCGCAGCCCTCCTGCAGATCTCTCTGCCTTCCCAGTGCTTCGTGTGCTCTGTTCTTGGGGAAACTGGCAGGCCTCGGGGTCTGCGTCCTTCCTTCCTGAGGGGAGTCTCTCTGCGTACCAAGGCAGAGCCCCTGCTGCCTGGACTAATCAGTCTAGAAAGTTCCAGTACATTACCCACCGAGAGCCTTGCCCTTGCTTCCTGGGGTGCCTTCTCCAACATCAGCACCGTGCATGGTGTGTGTGCAACCTATGGCCTTGTCATTGTCCATCCCACCGGATGGGGCCCCTTGAGGGCGGCTGCATCAGCTCCTCAAACACTTGCCCAAGTGGCAAGCCCCTTTCCTGACCCCAGTGTTCCCCTGGGCTCATGCGGATTGTGCTCTTACCAGCAACAAAAAGTCTCGCAGCCCAAGTCACTGAGTAGCCGAGGGTGACCCCCCCCCGCCCCTGCTGCCCCCCCACTGCTTTTCGTTCCCCTCCCCTGCCCTCGAGGGCGGGGCCTGCCTCCCTCTGGCCTCCCCGGCCCTTGTGTCCCCCCAGACCCGGGAGTACTGGGGGCCTTTGCGGTTAGCACCCACCAGTTGCAGTTTGCTCATCACCAAGCTTGGGTGTGTTCTTGCTTTGGGGGAGCTTGGGGGCAGAGGGGCGTGTGTGTAGTATGAATATAAAAATTGCTATAAAGGGCCGGCCCGTGGCTCACCTGGGAGAGTGTGGTGCTGATAACACCAAGGCCACGGGTTCGGATCCCTATATAGGGATGGCCGGTTGGCTCACTTGGGAGAGTGTGGTGCTGATAACACCAAGGCCACGGGTTCGGATCCCTATATAGGGATGGCCGGTTGGCTCACTTGGGAGAGTGTGGTGTTGACACCACCAAGTCAAGGGTAAAGATCCCCTTACCGGTCATCTTTTTGTTTTAAAAGAAAAAAAGGTGGGTTTGTCTGGGGGGAGGGGGTTGGTTTGTTTTGGAAAACGCAGTGTGGTTTTCAATTTCTAGGCTCCTGTAAACCAGTGATTCTTGGTAGAGTCCCCTGGGTGCTCCTAGGCACTGGCCCAGGCAGGCTGCTGCAGGGTCAGGACTGAAGTGGAGAATCTGCGTCTTTCACCCCAAGCAATGCCAGGCAGGCCCCACAGTGACAGGACAGACAGCCGACTGGGGCTGTCCCACCTTGTAGGAGGTGATGATGCCTGCCATCCTCTGTGTCTTGCAGGCCGGCCCTCGAACATGTACTTCCAGACCCACGACCAGATCGGCATGATCAGCGCCGGGCCCAGCCATGTGGCCGCTATGAACATTCCCATCCCCTTCAACCTGGTCATGCCACCCATGCCGCCACCCGGCTATTTTGGACAAGCGAATGGGCCTGCTGCGGGTGAGCGTGCCGGTGTTGGGGTAGTTCCCTGCCCAGCCCTGGCCCCAGCTGTGGTCATGCTCATATGTGAGGCTCAGGCCTCCTTCAGGTGACACTGCATTGCTGTCTTTCAGGCCGGGGCACCCCTAAAGGCAAGACTGGTCGTGGGGGACGCCAGAAGAACCGCTTTGGGCTTCCTGGGCCAAGCCAGACCAACCTCCCCAACAGCCAGGCCAGCCAGGATGTGGCGTCGCAGCCCTTCTCCCAGGGCGCCCTGACACAGGGCTACATTTCCATGAGCCAGCCCTCCCAGATGAGCCAGCCCGGTCTCTCTCAGCCCGAGCTCTCCCAGGTGGGCCCCCTTAATCACACAAAATGCTTAGCCACGGGGCCCAAAGTCTAGAACATTCTGTATATGACACTGCTCTTCCTCAGAGCCTGGGCAGCTAGTCTGGCCCATGACCCCTGTCTCAGTTTTCTGTCCCTGTGCTGGGGTAACCAGGGTGGGTCTTCTACCACTTAGGCTTGAAGGATGGGTTTCTCCAGACTCTTCTATGGTACAGGTAGGGTGGCCGTGAATGCCCTGGGACTGTGGGTTGTTCACTTGCCCAACCTTGTCTTTCAGGACAGTTACCTTGGTGATGAGTTTAAATCACAGATTGATGTGGCGCTGTCACAAGACTCCACATACCAGGGAGAGCGGGCGTACCAGCATGGCGGGGTGACGGGGCTGTCCCAGTACTAGAAGGCAAGCCCACCATGGAGGGGGTTTTCACCAAGGACCTGGAATTCTGGGGAAATTCTGCAAATGTGTGCTGTGGGTGGTGGGGTCTCACGCCCCCGAGGGACCAGCTTGTCCTCTGACCATCACTGTGGGTCACAGTGGCTTCATGCACACCTCCCCACTGGGATGCTGGGGTGGGCCTCAGTGCCACACTGCTGGGTGCAGGGGCAGCGCGATGACAACCTCAAGCTCCTGGCCTGCACTAGCTGGGAGCTCCCAGCCCTGTAGTCTGACAGCCTCCTGCCCTTCCTCCCTGACAGGTGGCAGCAGAAGAGCTAAGCTACCTGGCTTAGTCCATCAGCATCTTATTCTGGGTAATAAAAAATAAAAATAAATGGATACCTGTTTTCCACTGCTAAAACTGAAGCACCACTGTGTGAGCAACAGGAGAGGGAGAGGAGCGACCGAGGGAGAGAGGAGGAGCCAAGACGGCGAGCGCCCACTGCTGGCACGCGGCAGCGGCGGCGGCGAGAAGGAGAAGGGAGAGCGGGAGGTGGGGCCGGCCCCCTGGAGCCCCTGCCCAGCCCGCTGCCTGCGAGGAGGCCCAGCGCTCGCTGCGCCCAGCCTGCGCTGCCACCAGGGTGGAGGGAGGAAGACCCTCATCTCAGAGTAGCCCTTTCCTCTGTTCTTTTGTTCTTTTTCTCTTTTATTGAAAGGGGACTACATTTTAGCAGGAAAAAACTTCGCCTTTCTGTGCCCAAGTAGGCTCCTTACAGGCGGCGGCCGGCCGTGCCGGGCAGAGCCCCGTGCCAGTGCAGGTTCTGTCCACGCCGAAACCGCCCAGGTCACGCTGCCTGTGTTCTACGAGGGTTTTCATTTAAAGAAAATGTTTTGGGTCCTGTTTGTCTTTTTAAACATTCTGTCAAAGGAGTACTGAAAAATATACTTTCCTAAGTTTGTCTCTACATCTTAGTGGTGGACCTGGAAGATGCAAGAAGTTTCCAGAAACGAAGTTTAAGCAAGCCAGTGCAACTGGAGACTAGGATCAACACCTGTGATGCAATCTCGAGGAAGATTTTTGTTTTAAGTTTTAGCTTCCAGTGGCTTCACGCTGTAGGGCATCAGGCCGGTGAGGGAGTGGCCCCACTGGGATCAGAGTCTCCACGTTCTCCACTGGACTCTGAGAAGCAGAGCTGCTTTCTGTGCAGTGGACTTGGCGCCGGGTTCTGGCCACCCCATGAGGAAGGTGCTCGTGGCCCCACTGGGAGGGGCCTCAGCCAGGACTGGCTGTGAGGCCAGGGGTCGGGGAGGGGCTGGCAGCTTCTCCCCCCAGGTGGAATGCAGCATCTGAGAGTGCCTGTCTCCCTCCCCAGGAGGCACCCACAGTCCCTGTGGCTGGTAGCCACTCTGAGTGCCCCACCCCCCACCCCCAAGCCCCTACCTTCCAGCAGAGCTTTACTAATGTGGGGTGGTTGCTGCTTTTTGGGGGGAAGGGAACTAATCCAGAAATAAGTTGGCTCTGTGCTGAAGGGGCTTGAAAGAGAGTTTATCAGTTGGTGGGGGGCATCTGCCTGGGTCTGGGTTTTTATTGGAGGAGTTGCTTTAGTAGGGAGAGCTGCCCCCAGCTCCTTGCATACCACAGGTTGGGGTGTCAGCCTCCCTGGCAACCACAAAGTTGAGGACTGTTCTCTGCCTACCCGGGCCCTGGTGACCCCCCCAGCTTTTCCCTCCCCATGCAGTTGTCACTGGCCCTTATGCCAAAGTCTCCAGATTTTGGCTTCTACATGGGACAGGGATGCACAGGCCACCTTCCTTCTGGTGAGGACTTATTTATTACCATTGCTGTAGGCCTTTCAGTTCCCCCCTTTCTTTGGTAGGCCGCATAGAGGCACAGGTGTGGGTGGGTGTCCGCCGTGAGCCCTCCTGCAGCACCCCCTGTCCGTGGGGCTGGGATGCTTTGCTTCTGCCTCGTGCCCTTGCTTTGTTCTCTGCCTTCCCAGCAGCGCTGCTCTGCGCTTCACAGATTGAGGAGCATTCACACCAAGGCAATGTAACTTCTGATTTTTGGTCAATTTGTTTTAAGCTTTTTTGTCACCAATAAAATATTAATAAACAGTTCTTGTGTTCAACAGGGACTGGATGAGTTGCAGGTGGGTGGGAGGGCACTGGTTGGACGGGGTTCTCCTGGCTGGTGGGGGTGTGGGGTTAAGGGAGGCTGGCAGGCATCTGGGGGCCTCTCCACGTCAAAGCCCAGAAAAGCCAGGGCACCTGAAGGGGGTGGGGCTGTGACTCTGGGTCCCTCCTGTGAGCAGCACCTGGTCCTGAGGGGTGGCTACTGGGGTGATGGTGCCACATGTTGGCAGGCAATCCTGGAGGGGTGCTAGGGACCCGGCTCAGGGTGGGCTGGGCTGCTGATGCCACCGTGGGATCCCCACTCACCGCCTGCCCCACCCTCAGTCACAAATGAGGCCATGTCGTCCCCACCCCAAAGTGACGAGATGACGAGACCAGCAGAACAGACCACACGGTGTTTATTGTTGGGCCCACCCCGCCCACCCCGGGTCAGCGGCAGCCGCACTCGTCCACCACCATGTCCTCGTAGTGCCGTAGTACCACGTTGTCACTGTTGTCAAAGAAGAGCACGGAGATGGGCGACAGGCGTGCGGGCACGCAGCAGGGCAGGCTGGCGGCGCTGGGGGCGGCCGCGTGCATGAGCGCGCGCAGCACGGCGTGGTTGAGCGCGGGCGGCCCTCCGGGACCCGGCAGCGTGGCGGGCAGCGGAGCACTGGCCCTGGCAGAACTTGGCCAGGAAGCCCCGCGGCGCGATGACCCAGCGGTG